TCTGGTTTTGCAGCTGGCTCTTGCAGGGGGTGCACGGCCAATCTCAGGGGGTGCATGTGCACCCACATGCACCCCCTATGTGTCGCCAGTGGATAAACCTAAAGCAGGCAGCAGTGTTCAGGCTTGCCACAGTCTTTCCCAGTCAGAGATCCCAATGCTGCTTCTAAAAACAGAGGCATACGGGACAGGTGAACCTGTAGGAACAGAACCCCAGTTGAGAACCACTGGGGTAAGCTGAGGGGGAAGAGTGGCTTTCCACTGAGATGCCATCCAAATAAAAAAGTTATGGAAAGGTGCCCCGAATCTAAAAAAGTTGAGAATCTGAACTAGATGATGCCCAGATGTGGTCCCTTACAACCCTAGTTTTTTATGATTCTGTGATATAGTTCAGTGGTGGAGACATCCATGGATTTCCCAAGATGATATATGGCTAAACAGGTTGTTGACACTGGAAATAGACCCTTTTCTTATCCAAGATGAGTATATTATTTCAGTAGTTTGTGTGTCCCTTCCTAACAGTTTTCAGACAAATTTGAGAGTTAAGCAATCTGGACTTGTCAAGCTGGCAGAGGAAGAGATTCTTCAAAGGATCTTTCTCTTATAAAGTAGACCACAGAGTAAAATGATGAGAAAACTACTGTAAATCATGATGAAATACAAGTTGGCATGTGCCATATTTACAGGTAAAAACATTTAGGCTGAATGTTCACCTGTGCTTGGTGGCCCCTGGCTGTGTTCCCACATGCAGGCACATGAAGTCTGTGGCACTGCAGACTTCTGTGTGGCACAACAAACCACATGTGTGGAACGTTAAAACGTGTCCCCCACCCTGCAAATTTGCAGCACACGGGCAAAATTTGCTACCGAGATTTCCTGGTAGCAAAAAAAGAACCCCTGAAAAAAGTGGCATGGTGCACACTACAATAACGTGCACCAAAACAAACAGGGGCTTGGTCCTCCAGGAAGATGCTCTGGCTGCCGGCCAAAGCATATCCAGTCATCCATTTGTCTAGGGCTGGATTAACCCTTTAGTGGGCCCAAGGCAGTCAAACTCGTGGACCCCCAGTTAATACTGTATGTTTATATTACTTTTTTTCACTCAAAAAAGGAGGGCAATCCAGGCTGACCTGGACAGGCTTAGCAAATGGGCGGATGAGAACCTGATGGTGTTTAACACTGAAAAATGCAAGGTTCTCCACCTTGGGAGTAAAAACCTGCAGCATCCTTATAGGCTCGGCAGTGCTATGCTGGCTAGCACTATGGAAGAAAGAGACTTGGGGGTCATCATTGACCACAACATAAACATGAGCCTGCAATGCGATGCTGCGGCTAGTAAAGCAACCAAAACGCTGGCTTGCATCCATAGATACTTCTCAAGCGAATCCCGGGATGTCATTCTCCCCTGTACTCGGCCTTGGTGAGGCCACAGCTGGAGTACTGCATCCAGTTTTGGGCTCCACAATTCAAAAAGTATGTGGAAAAGCTTGAGAGAGTCCAGAGAAGAGCCATGCGCATGATTAGAGGTCAGGAAAACAGACCTTACGACGACAGGCTGAGAGTCATGAGGCTTTTTAGCTTGGAAAAGCGTAGGCTCAGGGGTGATCTGATGGCCACCTAGAAGTTTATCAGGGGTGGCCACCAGGATCTGGGAGAATGTTTGTTCACCAGAGCGTCCCAAGGGTTGACAAGGTGGAATGGTTATAAACTCCTGCAAGACTGTTTCAGGCTGGACATAAGGAAGAATTTCTTTATTGTCCGAGCCCCCAAAGGTCTGGAACAGCCTGCCATCAGAGGTGCTTCAAGCACCTACATTGAACACCGTCAAGAGCAAATTGGATGCTTATCTTGCTGGGATCCTATGACCCCAGCTGACTTCCTGCCCTTCGGGCAGGGGGCTGGACTCAATGATCTTCCTAGGTTCCTTCCTGCCCTAATGTCTATAAGTCTATAATTACCATATGTAAAATAAGCACAACTGGGCCACTTTTTCACTTAGGACCCTAGGCATGTGCCTAGTTTGCCTATGTGTTAATCTGGCCCTGCATTTGTGCCCTGGCTGCTCCAGCTTGCTGGGAGCTTGGAGGAGCTGACCAAGGGCAATTTGCACAAAGCAGGACACAGTGTCCTGCAACAAAGCATGTGTGCAGGGGCAGGTGCTGTGGCACAAGGTAGCGGCACAAATTTGTGCCACTACTGTACTATTTGTGTTCTTGCAGGCACATGCCCCTGCACATCTGGACATGTACAGGGTATAGTAAAGGACAGACAATGCAAACTGAATTACTGGTATGTGGTTTCAATCATTTCAATGATCCTTTTAATATATGTAATTGTGGGGTACGGTTGACATAATGTTAATTAACGTAAGCTCAAACAATAGGAAATATCATTTTCATCCATTTGTGGAGGGAGAATGGGTTGTCTGTCATTTAAAGGTTACTTTTGTAAATTGTGCCCAAGCTGGTCAAAAAGGGAAGTTCCTATGATGCTGGAGTTAGAGCCCTCAAGCTGTTTTTCCGTGAAAAGGATTTAATATGGCTGTGGATGTTTGCTCTGTACTTAGAAAGGAGGCCCCAATTGGTTATGAAATACCACATAAAACACTAACAAACACGTTATAAATCTAAACCACAATCTTATCCTGTCACTGAATTGCATTACACTCAGATTAGAAGATTAGTCTTATTTAGAGTTTTCTTAACTTGGGTGGTTTTGTTTGGTCGTTGGTTTTAAATATAGAATCCACTCTTTTTAATGCCTCATCACATTAGGACAACTCAGTCAGTAAGATATAGGCATCTGTAGACCTTAGAAAAGTATTTTCAAATGTATTTAAGTAATTGAGAAGCACACATTTTTCAATGTGACTAGCACTCCTAAGTAGGGTGACCATACATTCTGGTTTGGCTGGGACTCCCCCAGATTTTATAGGCCATCCCAGGGTCCTGGCCAGTTGGTAAAAAATGAAAGAAAAAACCTGGAATTGGCTGCTCCAGACAGAAGCAAGTAGGCAGGAATGCGGGACACAGTCCAGTAGAGAAGCAGAGCAGCATGGTGTGCAGCCACACATGCCTGGCCCAGCTTCTCCTGAGCAGTGGCTGGAGGTAGGGGGCAGGCTACAGTCCATCTTCCTTGCTCCCACACAGAAGCAGTGGTGCCTGACCACCCGCCTACCGCACACCATGCTGCTCCATCTCCCAGTTGGACTGCATCCTGAGCCCCTACCAACCTGTCTCTTCTGCCTGCAGCAATGCCACTGACTTGGGGGAGATGAGGGGGGGATAGTATCCTGGATTTCCTTTAAAAGAATATAACCACCCTACTCCTAAATGGCTTAGGTGCCCTTTGCTTAACTTTAAACTACAAATTGTTTATGTGTAGTTCAGTGATTTTCAATCACCTTGAGATCCTTTCACAGGTACTGTGGGGTGCCACACAATGTTGGCACTGTCAAGTTGGCAAACATGATTCACAAGATGAATTCAAGAGATTTCAAATAGGAATCCAGAGTGTTAAAAATATTCTCACCTGTTATAATATTTTCTGAGTTTTTTCCAACAGAAGAATTGCTCTATTATATTTCTGTAGTAAACAAATGACTGAAAACTAGGAGCTAACATTTGCTGAGGAGTGCCTTGAGTCCACAAAGGTTGAAAACCACTGGTTTAGTTAAATAAATAGTTTAGTGTGTGACCACTTAAAAAGGAATCCCTCTCCTGCTCACAAAGTTGCCTGTTCAGCCGACATCTTTCTGTAAAGTGAGCTATAATAAGTAGCCTGGGTGTTATAATAGGATATAAAAATTAAAGTTTCAACATTATAGCTATAATCAACCTTTTCAACAGCACAGGCTAAGAGATATGGGACTCTCACTGCATCATTATCTTTTATTTGTTCTCCTCTCTCAGCACGGAAGTTCTGTTCCAACCATCTTAATCAGTGTGATAGCATTGTACTGCATGCATTAGGATATAAAAAATCATAGTGGCCCCCTACAGGCATTATGTTTCTACTGGGAGAACTGCTGCTCTCCCAGCAGAAATTGCCAGTGGAGGAAGACTACCCCATCTACAAGAAACATTTTCCATCTTGACACCTGAAAAATAGTATTCCTGTGAGAGAGGTTTGCCTGTATACTCAACTCCTCTGTGATCAGAAAGAGTCCTGCATAGGAGGTTTTCAGCTGCAGTTTTCCCTTCAGGGGCATTCTCCATGCTAGGGAGGAGTCTAGCTGCCACTGCTCTCCCAAAAAAGCCCCCAGTCTGGGGAAGAAGGAGAAAGTGCAAGAGCAGCTTGGAACACCTGTATACCCACTCTCTCAGGAAGATTTCTGGGAAATTTGCAGTGGTAGACATGAAAGCTGATCCATGGCCAGCATGAAGAATAAAAATGTGTTGAATGTCAAGATAGGTGTAACAGGCCACAGCTGAGACCAGCTGATTTGCCTATTAATGTCCTCAGGCAGAAGGGTGTGGCCCCAACTCCAGACTTGCCCACCATGACTTGGTATTTAAAAGGTAGAATTCTTTAGATGAGACCTTCCCATCCTGCCAGGATGGTAGCTCTGGCAAACTTCATCCACCCTGCCATTCACCTCTGCCATCCCAGTACACTGTCACCACTTTCACATCTAGTCTGTTGGTCATGACCCTCCCTCTGGGGAAGGGCAGCCTCTACCCCATGTAGATGGATGCCATCCCAAGTAAAGTTAGTTGGGTCTATTGGGAGCTTCTCCACCCCTATACTCCTCCACAAGCCTACAAGTCTTAAATCAGTCAAATGTGTCACAGTTCAGACTGGGAGCTTTTCAAAGATACCTAACCTTCAGGCTTTGGCCGGGATGCATTCCTTACCGATTGGCTCCCATCTTCCCTAAAAGTCCATTTTGGATAAATACACAAAAATGCGGGCAGGATTGCTCCCCCTCACCAGTTTCCAGTGCATGCTCTTCAGTCTCTCATCCAGGGGCTGTCCCGTTCACTCCTGTCCTTCTCTTATAGCAGCCTCTGAGGTACTCCAGCCAGTCAGGGTCAGGAGCTTCCAGTGTTGCTGCATTCTGGTCTCCTGCAGGTGAGTAGAGCCTCTTTGTTTAAAGAAAGCCCACAGTGGAGCCAGAATTCCCAGGCTCTCAAGTTTGGGGCATGCCCCTGGGCTTCCCTTGTGCCCCGCTCATGGCTTCTCCCATCAAACCCTCCAAGCACCTCCCTTGCACTCTGTGCCAGCGCAGTCAGCATGGCTGGCTCTGTGCTAGCAGGGGTGGCACTCCAGTAAAGCCGGTAGTTATAGGGATAGGCTCCAGAACTCGCTGCATAAAGGGAGAGGATGAGCACCATGGTGGTGCAAGCAGCATTCAGGCAAAGCCAGAGGCAATGGAGGCCGGCTCCAGACCTGACTCCAGTAAGAGGGATGGTGCAAATGGGCTTGTTCTCTCCCTTCTTCCTCTCACCCTGCTACAATAGGTCTAAACTACAAAAGATTACCTTCATATCCACATTACTGGAGTATTCATATAGTAGGTTGTGGTTCAGATTTATCTCTAATTGGAAGATCATTTCCACAGTAAAACTTGTTCGCACAAAATAAATCCATCGGTAGGACTGTGAATTGGAAACTTGGGGACCAGACAAACCTTCCAGACTACATATGCTTAATACCAATCTTTCAGTTTTTAAAAGAAATTATGAAAATTCAACTTGTATCAAATGGAAATCTAGTCATCTGCACATCCTATAAATTCTGTCTGAAATAAATCTCAGGGGATAGGTAGGAATGGTGTTTAGTCAATATCTTAAATTATTGTTGTAAAATTTGTACTTGGGCATCATCTGCCCACCTAAAAAGAAACACCACAGCAGTGTACCAGAGTTCCATGGCTCAATGTACATTATAAGGTTTAGGACTCTGAGCTGCCAAATGTTTAAAGCATAGTTGTTTATCTGGGAAAACAACTGTTGTTTTGTAAAAAAATTTTCAGTTAGCATTTCCCATTATTTAATAAATATGTAGAAAAGGGAACTTCTGATAGAGCTGCTTTCAGTTCCTGGCACGTCATTTACAGTAGTTCTGCTCTTCTTTCCTGGATTTTGCAGCATGACAATCTGTATCCTAACATTTTAGACCCAGTCTTTCTCCCAGCAAAGCAGAACTCATACTGACACTAGTGGGAACAGGAAAGGACTTTTTAGTTGGCTGCAAGTTATGAAACTCTATTGACATATTACCGTGACTGACATACTTAACCAAATAAAACCTGAAGAAGAAAAGTGCCTGATTCTTCTTATTTTCCCTATTGTTTTACCAGTCTCCTCAAGCAGCAGAAACCTTTTGGTTTTTGGACTTGAAAGATTAATCATGTACTACTAATAATTATAGTGTTAAAGTTTTAGAGAAGGTGCTCTGTTCATTGGGCAAAAACTGGCACCTTCTACTGTAGCTATAGGCAAGTCTCAGGACTGATTTCAGTAATGCACATTGTACTGAACTAGGGTGGCCCAAACACTATGACAAAAAAAAGCAAGTCTTCGTGTTTTAATCCCTTTATAAAAATGTAATAAATGAAGTACTGTTGAAACAGGCCATGCTGACACAGTACATCAGGAAAAGCTATAGTACTAGGGTGACCATAGAGTTTGACCAAGACAGTCCCAGATTTTGTAGGCTGTCCCAGCATCCCATTCAGTTGGTGAAAATGGAAACAAAAGTCCTGGACTGGTGCCACCCCACCTGCACTGCCTGGCTCAGCTCCTCCTGAGCAGCAGCTGGAGGCAAGGGGTGGACTTGGCTGGGCACAACTTCCCCTGCCTGGGACAGGGATTGACCGGGATGGGGTGCCACAGGACAGAGGGAGAGCTCTGCTGTGAGTGTGTGCTGTGAGTGTGTGCATGTGTGTGGCGCCATGAGCAAACTTGTATTTTGATGCCCTTTGGTGCCCTCCTGAACAATGGCTGGAGGCAGGGGGTGGGCTGGGCTC